CTCTAAAATTATTGTTCACTCTTGCATGGATGCATGCACATGTATGAAAAGAATGAGAGAGTGAAAGGACTGAAAGGAGTAGCAGAGAAGAATATAATAATAAGAATAATTTAATAAAGGGGTATTGAGAACAAAGGATGGTAATCTTAATTGATATCAGCCTTCTCAATTACCTTAGTGCTTATCCAAAGCAAGACAAAATGCAAAACATTTTCCTCTATAGTACTAAAAAATAAAATCATTGTATCCAATGGTTGAAATAGATATAATGGAAAGATAAAAATCTTTCTTCTCAACATATGATGTATTGTCAATATTTGTATAGAAATGGGAACAATTATTAATGTCAAAACCATGAAAGAATTGATTCTCATGCTCCATTTCACCACCTGTTGTGTAAGTTGTGAACTAATGTATGATATCGATCTATCTAGGAAAACATTAACGAACCAAAAACTATCTAAAATATAACTTGACTGATGCATTATCCATTAGTTTAGTTAACTTATTTATAATAACATCATCTTGAATGGCCTTGTTAACAACAAATTTACTTTCAAAAAGTCATACTGTAGTGAATGATCTTCCATACATAGTATGGAAGAATTTGTCTCTATACCCTGCTGTTAACGCGGATACAACGGAAAAAAAAAATATCGATCAACTTTATGTGTTCAACATAATGTAAGACAACCATTTCTATAGAAATGCAAGCAAAAAATAACTATCAAAGTTGCGATAACCTTCTATCTTATCCGTATGATTCCAGTCCTTTTGTCGATCATACATGTGATAAACTTTTTATTGCATTTTCTTGCCACCCTAATGAACAAAGATAGGAAATCAAGCAATCAAAGAAAATACTCATAGTTCCCACACTTGGTAAAATGTAAAAACTTGTTAACACCTTGGCAATTGGTGTTGGGAACCAGATCTCTGTATCCTGTTGAAGTGAGCGTTACTATCTTAAGTATAGAGCATCTATAAACTTGTATGTGTGAGTGCCCTTCAATTTTTCATTTGTAATGTATATTACAATGCATTATCTATCTAGGAAAACATTAACGAACCCAAAACTATCTAAAATATAACTTGATTGATGCATTATCCATTAGTTTAGTTAACTTGTTTATAATAACATCATCGAGGTATTGAATGACCTTGTTAACAGCAAATTTACTTCCAAAAAGTCATAACGTAGTGAATGATCTTCCATACATAGTATGAAAAAATTTGTCTATGTACCCTACTGTTGACACGGATACAACGGAAATAAAACAAAATATAGATCCACTTGATGTGTTCAACATAATGTAAGACAACCATTTCTATAGAAATGCAAGAAAAAATAACTATCAAAGTTGCGATAACCTTTCATCTTATCCGTATGATTCCAGTCCTTTTGTCGATCATATATATGATAAACTTTTTATTGCATTTTCTTGTCACCATAGTGAACAAAGATAGGAAATCAAGCAACCAAAGAAAATACTCATAGTTCCCACACTTGGTAAAATGTAAAAACTTGTTAACACCTTGGCAATTTTGGTGTTGGGAACCATATCTTCGTATCCTGTTGAGGTGAGCGTTACTATCTTAAGTATAGAGCATCTATAAACTTGTATGTGTGAGTGTCCTTCAATTTTTCATTTGTAATGTATATTACAATGCATTATCTATCTAGGAAAATATTAACGAACCCAAAACTATCTAAAATATAACTTGATTGATGCATTATCCATTAGTTTAGTTAACTTGTTTATAATAACATCATCGAGGTATTGAATGGCCTTGTTAACAGCAAATTTACTTCCAAAAAGTCATAGAATGATCTTCCATACATAGTATGGAAAAATTTGTCTCTGTACCCTACTGTTGACACGGATACAACGAAAAAAAAAATATCGATCCACTTTATATGTTCAACTTAATGTAAGACAACCATTTCTATAGAAATACAAGCAAAAATAACTTTTAAAGTTGCGATAACCTTCCATCTTTTCCGTATGATTCCAGTCCTTTTGTCGATCATACAAGTGATAAACATTTTATTGCATTTTCTTGCCACCCTGGTGAACAAAGATAGGAAATCAAGCAATCAAAGAAAATACTTATAGATCCCACACTTGCAAAACATAAAAACTTGTTAACACCTTGGCAATTTTGGTGTTGGGAACCAGATCTCCGTATCCTGTTGAGGTGAGCGTTACTATCTAAAGTATAGAGCATCTATAAATTTGTATGTGTGAGTTCCCTTCAATTTTTCATTTGCAATGTATATTACAATGCATTATCTATCTAGGAAAATATTCACGAATCCAAAACTATATAAAATATAACTTGATTGATGCATTATCCATTAGTTTACTTAACTTGTTTATAATAAAATCATCGAGGTATTGAACGACCTTGTTAACAGCAAATTTACTTCCAAAAAGTCATACTATAGTGAATGATATTCCATACATAGTATGCAAAAATTTGTGTCTGTACCCTACTGTTGACACGGATACAACGGAAACAAAAAAAATATCGATCCACTTTATGTGTTCAACATAATGTAAGACAACCATTTCTATAAAAATGCAAGCAAAAATAACTATCAAAGTTGCGATAACTTTCCATCTTATCCGTATGATTCCAGGCCTTTTGTCGATCATACATGTGATAAACTTTTTATTGCATTTTCTTGCCACCCTAGTGAACAAAGATAGGAAATCAAGCCATCAAAGAAAATACTCATAGATCTCACACTTGGCAAAATGTAAAAACTTGTTAACACCATGGCAATTTTGGTGTTGGGAACCAGATCTCCGTATCCTGTTGTTTAGGTGAGCGTTACTATCTAAAGTATAGAGCATCTATAAACTTGTATGTGTGAGTGTCCTTCAATTTTTCATTTGTAATGTATATTACAATGCATTATCTATCTAGGAAAACATTAACGAACCCAAAACTATCTAAAATATAACTTGATTGATGCATTATCCATTAGTTTAGTTAACTTGTTTATAATAACATCATCGAGGTATTGAATGGCTTGTTAACCGCAAATTTACTTCCAAAAAGTCATACTGTAGTGAATGATCTTCCATACATAGTATGCAAAAATTTGTCTTTGTACCCTGCTGTTGACACGGATACAACGAACAAAAAATATCGATGCACTTTATGTGTTCAACATAATGTAAAACAACCATTTCTGTATAAATGCAAGCAAAAATAACTATCAAAGTTGCGATAACCTTCCATCTTATCCGTATGATTCCAATCCTTTTGTCGATCATACTTGTGATAAACTTTTTTTTGCATTTTCTTGCTACCCTAGTGAACAAAGATAGAAAATCAAGCAATCAAAGAAAATACTCATAGATCCCAGACTTGGCAAAATATAAAAACTTGTTAACACCTTGGCAATCTTGGTGTTGGGAACCAGATCTCCGTATCCTGTTGAGGTGAGCATTACTATCTAAAGTATAGAGCATCTATAAACTTTTATGTGTGAGTGCCCTTCAATTTTTCATTTATGATGTATATTACAATGCCAATTTCTACCTATACTAAAAGAACAATATTAGGCACCCAAAACATAAAAGTCGATGGCTTCTGAGTAGTTTCTTTACTTCTTAAATTTCTCATACTTCTTCCAACCCCACTTCCACCAGCTCAATTTAGATTTTCTCCACTTTCCTAAAATTTATTATTTTTGTCACTGAACTATTTATAGTTTGGTCAGAGATAAAAAAGTTGTCTTACATTTTTCTTCATCATTCACATTGATCATAGCTATTGTATAGACAGACATTCATCATAGTTGTTGTGTGTCTATATTTTTACATTCACTACATTGTGTACTTTATTTGTGGGTCAGTAAAGTATAAGTCACTTGGCCACCAATAGCATTTTATGTATCTTTGTCAATTATATGCATGAAAAATAAACTATAGAGTATATTGAGAAAATGATAAATTACATGGGATTATATGAAAATTAATTAATAACTTTTTTTTTATAACAATATAATAACTTTTTTTAAAGTTAAGTAGAAAGTTAACATTTTCAACTTCAACCGAGAATAGAGTTAAGTGATGAAAGAAATTCTTGAAAGGTTATAGTTGAGTCCAATTAAAATTGAGGATTATCAATTATGTTTTATTCACCCATAAATCTATGTAAAAAGTTAATTTCCCCCAAATATAAGTGTGAATTGTGTGGCATAGTTTGTTTTTAGGTTGTAAACCTAAACCCCCCCGGAACCCTTAGTTTAAAATTAATTATTTCCTATTATGAATTTATCTTTAAGACTTGGATCATATTATAAACTATAAAGTCTTCAATCCCTTTTTTAATGTGAACTATTGGTAGTTCATAGATGTATTCTTGGAAGGTGAAGTATGTTAATCTAAGGGTGTTCATAATAGTAATAGTAGAAATTAAAGCACCGTATAGGCTTCCCATGATGATGCATATCAAAGGGGGAGTGTGTGAGAATGACTATGGTGACTCCACAGGGATGTAGAATAACAAATCATAAGTTGGATAGAGATGATCTCCTTCAATGGGAGAAAAGGGTATTTAGAGAGGTGAAGTCCTTCTTAAGTGTGGCAGAGAGACAAGGGTCTGTCCCTAGAGCTGTTCACCTAGCCAACTTAGTTTCTTTGGCTAAATATGTTGAACCTATTGTCAATGTACATGGGCAGCAGTGCAAGAGGAAGAAATGGAATCCTATGCTAGTGAGAATGCCCTCTAGGAAATTCTACATGTAGGCATTTGATATTAGGACCAAAGGACTGAGCCTAAAAGGGCCTGCCAACACATAATGTATCTTCAATAAAATCCTTAGTTGTTTGATCTTTTGAATACTCTCACACAAGCCCAATTATTGTATCCTTAGTCATTTTACCACGTGCTCTTATATATAATAGACCTAACGGATAATGTCAATGAGTGATTTATTAAAGTTTTGTTTGGGTGAATTGTTTCACTTTCCTAAAGGGAGAATTTGCAAAATATCACATTACATGTACTCTTCAATCGAAGATATATTGTTATGTTTACCAATTGAAACTTTATGACACCAACCCATGTATCCCATCTTCAAAACTTACAAAAATAATATACAACCTCAACCATATATATACTGTCAAATCCCTATGCTATCTAAGAACTCAAATGGTTCTATGCAGGGTATCAACCTATACTATAGTAAAATCCCTTCTTTCTTTTTACACTAGGATTACAAGAAATTATGCAGCAAAGTCTATCTCCATTCAATGTCTTATTTGAGCCACAAAGTCTGGCAATAATTGTGCAGCAAACCTCTTTGGATTCTGCATATTGATACTCTCAAATGCAGCTGAAGAAGAGTGAGAAGTGGAAGAGCTTATGGCACCAAACTCGTTTGGTTCACTCATGTCCAATCTTCTTCCTAGTTGAATGTTCTGGTTTGGGAGAAATGTTTGATGGGTTCCTGATAATGTGTCACAATGAGGAAGACCAAGAGTGAGGGAAACTCCATTACCTGAAGAAAACCTTGGTGTGAATTGCTCTGCATCAAACCTACCAATTTCTTCAATTGGGTATTGTCCGAAACCACCAATGAAGTTTGTTTGGTTTCCCATGAAAGAGTAGCCATCTCTGCTCTGTCTCTCATCTCCAAATTTCATGGAGAGTTGTTCATTGTTTGCATTATTGGGTTTGACATCCATGTTAAATGAAGAGACACGATTTGGTGACTGCAGAATTTCATGGTTCCTTGGTTTCTTGGGACTCCCTTGTGTGATTCCATCTAGTTCTGATGATCCAATGAAGCTGAATCCTGGTTGGTTTCTGACATTTCCCATAACAGGTGATGTTGATGGTGTAGAAACTGAAACTATTGGATTATTGTTCTGGATTTTAGAAATGTCTTGTTTGGAATTGAAACTCTTAGATTCAGTTTCAGAAGTAGGACACCTCTCTTGTGGAGTTGGTTTTTTCATAGCAGAATCTTCACCACTCTTGCTTGATTTGTCCTCAGACCCATTAGGTTCATTCTCCTTCATCTCCTCTACGTACATTTCTTCCACCATTGGCTTCCAAAGCCTAACTCGAGCATTTATGAACCAGTTTGAAACCTGTTCCATTCCCAATATTGTCAACATGATCAATGCTATAATTAAGAGAAGAAACAGTTAGTAGTGGGGTTATTACCTGGCTCCTGGTAAGCCCTGTTTGTTTTGCAAGCATGTGTTTGTCTGAATCCTTGGGATAACTGAAACCAACCCATCATCTATTTCAGCACAAACTTAACAAAAGAAAAATTCTTTGAAGTACCAATCAAAATTTAAAAAATGGGATTTTGGGAAACTCAAGTGTACTCACGGGTGGAGGAAGTGTTCAAAGAGCCAAGCACGCAAGACAGAAACTGATCTTTCAGGCAATCCTCTTTGGGGTCTCCAAGCATTGTGATGGATCATTCCCAATTGTTGGATAGCTCGTTGTTGCCGTAGCTGATTGTCTACATATTTCAGCCTCGAACCTTCAATTTTGCCTCCAAAGCAATCCTCTTCTCCTAAGCTCTTATTTGCAGCTCTAATTTGGCTTGTTATAGCATCTTTCAAACACCGAAACTGCTTAGAGATTGTTTGCAATGCAAGAGCAGTGTATGTTCTGGCAGAACCAATTCCCGCAGCTTGTTCGAACAATGAAATCACAATCTGCATCTGGTTGTGGTATTGCCTATACCTTTGTTCCACCTTCAACCAACAACACCCAAAAACCACATTAATTAGGAACAACAAAGTAACGATATTATAAACTATAGTATAAGGCTATATATAACTTTTCATTTGTCATTTTTTTCTTTTAGTATAACAAGGAGGTATTCTCTTTCAATTTCCCCTCCAGCTATTTTGCCCTTGGAATACGACTTTAAAACTAGCTCTTCATTGGAAGAGATGGTGCATTAGATAATTGTCACCGAAAAAAGGATGAAACTAATTTCCCGTCGCTAAGGGTTTTGCCTCTAATCCCAAAGAACTTTGCCAAGGATTGACCCAAGCTCAAATCCTTGGGACACACTTCGCTACCAAGTGTGCCGACCCTTGGGTTTTTCATTTGTTATCTTATTCATAAACTTGTGATCACTATTATTAATACAACAAAGGCTTCATTAGTTAGATTAATTAACTGAATGCAGAGTAACAAATCTTGTGTGCTCATCACAAAAAGAGTAAAATATGAGCACAAAAAATTACTTACCTCATCAAGCATGCTGATTAGTTTTGCTTTCTTCATCTGAATTTCTTGTCTCTCATTAGTTGATATCTCAGAGCTAAGCTTTCCACTTCCATCCCCACCAATTGAACCGTCTCCACTAGCTCCAGTTGATGATTCCCCAACAACCTTAATCTTGTCAAATCCCTTCTTTGCAGGTTCCTTGATGCCATTGTTAACATTCACAACCTCGTCAAGAAGTTCCTGGGTTGCCTTCAAATACTTGGAACTCATAAGCACACTCTGAATACCCGAAACACCATTGGTTACCCCAGAAGCAGAAGATGGTGACCCACCAGACACGCGCACCTCGTCGCAGGACACTGCAGGCGGCTGAGCCTGCAGGCTCAGCGACAGTCCCTGAGTGGCTGCGCGTGATGTCTCACGCGCCGCCGCCGCCGCTGCGTTGGGGTCTATTGAGTTCCATAGATTGTACTGCATGCGTGGCAGGAACCCATGCAAGGCGGAGACGTCGTGATGGGCATGTATGGACGGCTCCTCGGAGGCAGAAGAGAGTGGCACGCCGACAAATTGTTGGGTGTGAGAGGGCGGCGCGTGAGAGATACTTTGTGAGGCAAGAGAGTTATTTCCGGCCATAGTGGCAGCAGAGTTGAGGAATACAAGGTTTCCGCCATGTGGTGGCGGAGGCTGCGGCGGCGGCGTGTCTGAGTAGTGTAAATAGCCAGGGTTCATGAGTATAAGAGTTTGAAGGCCATCAGCACCACCTTGGATTTCTGAATTACTATGAAAGTACGTCGCCATCGGGTTTTTTTTGTGTAAACCAATTTTCTTTTGCTTTGTTACTTCACACTGAAAAGAGACTAGCACACATGTTGGTTGGTTTGTGTTAGCCTTTCAAAGTTCACAATCACATCCAAATAAATAATAAATAAAAAATAAAAAACTCACACACCTTAATCCCATTAGAACACATCTCAACATAGCACAAAACAAAACATGCTCACAAATGAACAACTTTCATACGCCACATATATAAAACCAACATTCAACACTATTTGTGGTAGCTTTACCTTTCAGCCCTGTGAATCAACTCTTAAGAATTGAAGCTAATTTCATAGTTTTCTCACATAACAATCCTGATACAAAATAAACAATGAAAAAAAAAGAGAGAAGAATAAATAATGAACTAATTGTTTTCAGATAAACACCACGCAATATTTTATGGTATATGTATATTTATTTGTTCCAAATTAAGGCATAGATGAAATTAATTTGCTCTTTTTATCACATGGAGTAGAAAGAGTAGAAAAGGAAAGGAATGAAATACATGGAGGCTTTTTATAAAGAGAAGAAATAAAGAGGTAGAAAAGAGATTGGAGAGAGCAAGAGTGAGAGAAAAGGGTAAGGAGAGATTTTTCATTATTTATATATTAGTATATGAAATTAATGATATCGTAGCTATAGCACGTGATTCATCATCACTTCTGCACTGCAAAGGAAAGAAGAATTTCAATTACAATGACCCGAAACCTATGAGATACAGATTTTGGACAGAGAGAGAAAGAGAAAGAGACACAGACAAGGAGGCACACGCACACACAGTCTCACCCACCAAAGCAATTCAGTTATGGCTAACATGCATCAAACCCACCTGTGTGAATATGTATGTATGATCTATCTATCTTTGGGATTTTGTCATTCCCTTCAATTGCAAAGGGGAAAGCTCTTTGTCAGACTCAAATCATCTGCAATTCCACCACAACTGAAAGTGGAATAAAAGGTGTTAAAGAGAGAGACATGGGTTAAAAAGATACCCATCTTTATTCACTTCATTATCCACTCATTTATGGCCATTTTTTCCTGAAAAAATTAATTTTTTTATATTTGAAATTCTGGGTAAGGGGAGAATTTTGTGGAAACACTGCAGTGAAACATGTTCATGTTATCTCCTTATCTTTTCTGTGGCCTTTTCTTGGGAGAAGTACCTGCGAATAGATCAAAACAGGGGAACTTCTTTTGATTTGACCCTTCTCTTTTCAAATAATCTGATGCAACCAAGCAACCTTTGATGAGCAACAAAGAACTTTTGAAAGATGAAGAGAGAGAGAGAAAGAGACAGATATAGAGAAGAATTGGCTAAGAAATATTGGAAAATATATATTTACAAATATTTTATTTATAAATTCTTAAAAATTATACTATATATTAAAAGGAATATATTCTGGTATATGGTGTATTATTTATGGTACATAAAATAATTTGTAAGAATTTGTAAATAATTTTTATAAATATAACATTTTCAAAAAATATATATATATATATATATATATATATTTCTTATATGGTGAAAAAATAAGAAGTATTACACTTAATTTTAATAATTGATTCACTCATATATAATAACTTTTGTAACTAAAAAATTAAAGCCGTTAAAGTTAAGTGGGATTAACGGATAAAATTGAGAGTATAATTTATATTAATATAAAATAATTTAACTCATATATTTGGGTTTATCTAATCTCATGTTGCACGAAAAAAATTATGTCATAAGCATATAGTGGTAGGGTCCACTAACAAAAAAAAAATATTACACAATTATCGAATGGTGTGTAAGAAAAAAAATTTATTTCATGTTAGATATATAATAGATAATGAAAATGTAACGAGGGTGCCTAAGTTGTCACAAATGGCTGAAAAACGAGGAAACGTCTATTAATTGTTTGTTTAATAATAAAAAATAAAATAAAAAAATAGGATGATGACGATGATGGACAACTAGCGGGTGGAGGGATCTGATTGCTCATTTCTACATTAAATATCTTTTTGTCGTTTTCACAATTTCCATGTTTTTATTTTCAACTTATATGTATATATTATTTTTTGTGGTTGGATGACTGAGTTTGAAGATAAAGCAATTAAATTTCTAAGGAACACAGAACCCAACTACCATAACACCAACTTTAATGCTTACCAAGCTGAAAAAAATACTTATCTAAACTATTTTCCAGAAATATTTGTTTGCATATTTACTGATTATGAATATCTTCAAAATTTTACCTCTATTACTATGAGTTTTGTAAATTTAGCAGATTGTAAATAGTAATAACAAAAAAGAGAGAAAAATGGAAGATGGGTTAGAACTTATAAAAGCAGTGGGACCCAATGAAGTGCATTTATGATGTGTAATCGAATCACGACCGCACAATAAGTAATCCCATCTTGGCTGTCAATGCATCACGCATATACCAGGCATCAGCGGATTATAACATATAATCAATAAAATTGTTATTGTAGATCAAGAATTTGCTTATTGTATATATTTCTCACTTATTTTTTTATACGTTTATTCTCCTTCACGTTTCCTCCGCCTAAAAAAAAATGAAATTTAAAAAATTGTTCCCTACTCTTTCTTCAATAGTTTTTTATGGCACCCAAAGGATAACTTAGATGCATAAAAAAAATGGAATAACCATAGGGTAATTCAACAATTTCTTCTCTTAAATCAATATTAACAAGAATTGGACAAAGAAAGAAAAGATCGAACAAATAAATAATTAGTAATAACCCTTTCAAGTGTAAGTGAGTTAATCCCATCATTTGCATGGAAAGACAGAGAATGACCATATATATTAATTTAATAAATTTTGGATAGCCTAGAAATGCTCTCAATCACCATCAGTAACAATTATTCATGTAGCTCGTTTATAGTATCCAAAATATCTTTGGTATTACTGTTGTACTGAATATTGATTATGATTCATATTCACAACAAAATTATAAATTATGTATTTTGGGATCATATAAATATAATTTTTTTTTTATCTCTTTTCAAAAAATATGTCAGTATAAATATTGTGTTTTTATTGGGTGGATATAAATACGATGTTAATATATTAGAAATTTCGGTATACCATCATCCATACAAGAAAAAACAGTGATAGGTGCTATTAACATACTATATAGAGATGGTTCTATGAAATGCCTTTTTGCAATCAAGTTGTCATTCTCGTAAAGATCGATGTCAATTGTATTTATTTCATTATTTCATACTTCTCTTGGATTCTTTCATGAAAACCCATTGTAACTTTTTGTTCTTACTCAACTACACATTAACAAACTGGTTTTCACAGCTAGACATTGGATCTGTCGAGGACACATGTAAAAACGAGAGCAAAAGGGTGTGCTCTGTTACTTATGAATATTCATGTCAGAAGCATGTATAGTTTTCAAAGGTGTACTTGAATGTACAAAAATGATGAAGAATCTTTCTTGAGTAACTGAGCTAGAGATGCATGTGGTTCTGTTCTTTCTCTTTTCTTTCTTAAACAAAAAAAAAAAAAAAAGAGCCAGGCCTATTTTATTGTCATGGAAGATTTGACGAAGTTGACCCAATTTCTCTGTTCTGGAATATACAATTCCACTAAAAGCTTTTAATATCAAACATAATATGAAGAATATATAACATAACTAATTATATGTTGCTGATGAGGACCTATACACTTTATCCTTGAGGGAAGTGCATCTCTTCTACAATTTAATTACTCTTTTCTTTTCCAAATCCACAACTTTGAGATTTTTTTCACCTATTCATTGACTAATCAATTTATCCGGTCGAGTCGGAAAGAATTATAAGAGTGACAAATATCTTCCAACCAAATTTTTAACACAACTAAGATCACTGATTTAAATTCACATTAATTTTGACAGGCATGGGAAAAGGGGAGAAAATGGTAAATCAATGTAAAAAAATTAAAAATGAAAGAATTATATTAAGGTCATGCGCAAAAATACAAGTAGACACAGACGAAGATTTATGTGTGTGTACATGAGTCTATGATTATTTCAATGTGAGAATTAAAGGAAAAGGAAACTTGGAAGGTTCAAATTCCTCCCTTTGGACTAAGCAATCACTTATGCTGTATAATTGGATGCATGTCCCTTAGTATATGATTTAGAAAAGTAAAACCATCATAGAATCCAAGAATCTAATAAGGTGGAGGTTATCATCATGATGATGGTGACCCGGAATTCAATTACTTTGGATATGATATGTTATTCCCTAGAGAAACATTTGAGAAGTATGACATGATATTATAATTAAACAACTAATTAACTTTAGATTACAAAGTCTGCTAATTTGAGTCATAATCAGGTCATTGATTATTTAAACCAAGTTTTTATCATAACAATAGACATAACTGATTCAATAAACTGCAAAACATGTACAAGGCCGTACTGTTGTCCCCGAAATGGATTTGGATTCTGTTGATTTTGAAGTAACCATATATTTTTTATATATAAGTGGCACGCATCACATCATAGTAATCCCAAGGGTCACTGCCACCTTATGATACTGAACGCACCCTGTCTATGTGTATGGGTGGGACTATACAATATATAAAAAAGATTAAAAGCGGTTTTTGTAAGTGGCATGGTATGGTCCCTTTGTGTGTGTTCCATCTATTTCAATGTTATCATGGTTGTCTATTCTTTTCTTATTCCAATTTTTTTCCTGAAGAAAATGACTTGAAAAGAATAAAACACTGAAAAAAAGGGTCTAGGATTTCCTACTTAAACAATTCAATGTAGTTAGAATGTGTCAAAAAGAGGCCACGAAAAAGATAGCAAAGGTGAAAGTCGATATGTGGAAATAGTACAAGCATAACTTATGTACCAATCATTAAAAATAAGATCTATATAGCTTGTTTCATACAAAAGAGTCATTTATTCAAATTTCTTGTGACATGGCTATTAGGTAGTGATATATGTCTAAAATGTTTTGAATTATAAGTGTTGAAACAGATAATTAAATTCAAAGTTTGAGTTTGAAATATTGTTGTATTCTCTAGAATCTTAACTGAGTTATTTTTAGGAAATTTGTTTCATAGCAAATAGGCTCTGAGTTGTTACAATTCTGTATATTCTGATCCTAGGAATTTGTTAGTTTGTTATTATTTACTCTGTATAAATATACCTCTGAGAGGAACACTTAAAGCAATGAAGAAGCATTTCTCCAGTATTGAGTGTTTTAACATGGTATCACGAGCGGTCTGATCCTTGTTTTTTCTCCCACGTCGTGGTTTCTTATTTTTCCTCTAATCCGTATTCATTTTTTTCCTTCTTCCTTTCTGACCTGTACCCACCCTAAAATTACCAACCCAATATCTTATTTACCCGTACCCAGATCTCTTTTATCCTTTTCAATAACTTTTTTTTCCTAAAATTACCCGTACCCGTATCGAATCCCTAATTTTTTCCTCTCTGAAATGGCCACCGACAATGAAAATGACAATAACATTGAAACCACTGTCACCCCTCCACTCAACACCGCCTCTTCCTCCCAACAACCCTCCAACATTGTGATTTATCAAGACAACTCTTCCTTCACTGTCACTGTGATTTTGGATGACTCCGACTATCCCCTTTGGTCCCAATTGATGGACATGCGCATTGGAGCAAGGAACAAGTCCGTGTATCTCACCGGAGCAACGGAGAAGCCAGCCGTGGAAGACCCTACCTACGACAATTGGGTTACGAAGAACAAACGTGTAAAAAGCTGGTTGATTGAATCGATGAACCCCTCCCTCATGCAACGATTTCTCCGCCTGGAAACAGCATCTGAAATTTGGGACGCATTC